GGCTCGTCACATACACATACACCTACACACAAACACATACACACACATATAATTCATTTTCATAACATATAGCCACACATATACTTGTCAACTTGTAAAAAGTTTTCATGACAACTATCTTTGACATAGGAAAAGGGAGAATAATTCCATGCATACCTTTGGCCAGAGTCAGGTCTCATATTCCTACAGCTGGCGTGTGAAATGCACATGTTCATAGCCTGCCGCAGCACCTTGTTGGTGGATGTGATTTATGACACAGACAGAAGGGAAAGGGATACAGGGGGTAAAGTTCAAATGCAATTAAGTGGAAATCAGTTTCGGCTCCGCAGAAGAATATGCCAAAATGTTGACCCTAACAAATGAATGGATTTCTTTTGAACTTTGTCTCGAAGCTCACAAAATAATTAGGTCATCTTTTGGAAGCTTCAGTCTGTTCCTAAGGGAGACATTTGCCCCGTTTTATGACTCTTTTCTTTGCCGCAATTGTTAAGCAAGTCACAGCAGGTTTTAAGTTTAGTAGCATGCTTGTTAAGGGGAATCTGGTTTCCCCATTGATTTTGCTAGCCAGAAGGGAGCACATAGCTATGGGACCCTGCAACTGTCATAAATAGGAGTCCTCTGCATTTTTGATCACATGACTGTGGAGATACTGCAATGGTCGTAAGTGTGGAAAACAATCATGACACTTTTTTCAACGCCACCATTAAACACTAATAAAGGAGAATATTTGTAGCTCAGTGTTGACATGGGGGAGGGGGTCCTTGGTGCTTCCTGTGCTTGTTTGTTTTCTTGCAGACGTTTCACTACCCAACTAGGTAACATAATCAGTGCTGGGAGGAGGATTGTGGGGTCCTTGGTGAGTTTGTATGTTTTCTTGCAGACGTTTCCTTACCCAACTAGGTAACATCACCAGTGCTCTTTCCCCAGTTCCCAGCACTGGTGATATTCCCTAGTTTGGTTAATGAAATGTCTGCAAGAAAACATGCATGCTCAGAGGGGCTAGGGACAGTGTTATATGTGACACACAATGTAGGCAATTCATTTAAAACCCCTGTGTCCTTGAGATGCCCCCTCCCGCCACATCCGATGATGGATATGGCACAAGAAGAAGAAGACATCATGAATGGCTTTCAAGGCCAAAACCCTGACTCAAGTGATTAGGAAAATAGGTCTACATTCATGTATATTTGTATGTGGATGGATGGATGATGATGGATGATGAATGGATGGATAGATACTAGCCAATGTCATCTGGCCACTACCCGGGGGAGGACCTTCTCTGTGGCGGCTCCGGCCCTTTGGAACGAGCTCCCCGCAGAGATTTTTGTGTTTCCCTTCCCCTCCTTGGGTTTGTGCGCCGCCCTGAGTCCCGCCGGGAATAGGGCGGCATATAAATAAAATGAACCTTGAACCTTGAACATTGGATGGATGGATGGATGGATGGATGGA